GACGCGTATGCCCTGCACAACTCCAGCGGGTAAGCACAGGCCACCTGAGTCCACCGTAGCCCACCTGGTGATCGCCCTCGTAATTCTCGGTGAGCTCGGCCAGTCCGACTGCAGCGGCTCGAGGAACACAAGCACACCCGCTGTAGCGTCGCCATCTTCTTCACGTTGGTGATGAACGTAGTTGGCTTCCTCCATTCCTCGCCATACATGCAGTAATCCACCTCCACACGGAAAACCCCCTCGAGATCCAAGAGCGCGGTCATTGGCGCGAACGCCCATATCATGCTGGTCCTGGGGTTCTCGAGGGTGAATCCAATGCCAAGGCGTAGGCAGATCTTGACCACCTCTACTGCTATCAAAGCCAAAGCGTTCCCTTCGTCGATCTTGGCCTGGTCCGTCTCCGTGCAGTCCGGCAGCCCCCATGGGTGATCGCTCGACCTCAGCGGCGGCTGCCTTGCTCTCGAAAACGTCGCGCACGGGGGGGCGACATGCACCCACCAGAACCAGCCAGTCCTCAACCTCCGTAACAGCAGCTCCAAGTTCTCTGTGACCAGTACGTCGAACTCCACGCCACGCTGGATGTCCCAGGCCTCGCCCCACGAGTCGGTCAGCTCCCTGGTCGCGTCTGGCAGGCGAGAGCTCCCAGCGAAGAGCTCCAACACTCCAGGTCGCCCCATGGTGGGAGCGGCCGGGAGGTCCTCCTCCTCGCCGATCGCCTCCTGCGCCCGCTCGATCTCGGTGTAGCTCTGCTCGGCCAAGGGTCCCCGAGCTCCCCCATCTCCTCGGGCAGCTTCCCGTCGGACGTCCTCCTCCGTGCAGTCGCAAGCCAGGGCGCCGAAGCCCTCGTTGGACGCATCCGTCATATATGCTCTCGGCCACCAGCCCATCTCCAGGTTCGACTCCATGTAGACCGAGAGTGACGCGGCGGCCCTTAACTCGCTCCTGACCTCCTCGGGCAAGCGGTGTGGCACAACACTCTCCTCCTCGGTGAACTCCCTCAGCCACCTGTAGGTCGCGTCCAGAATCGCAAACGAGGGGCGGAAGACCATCATGGTCCAAGTCCAGTGCCCGACCAAAGAAGCCACCGCTGCAGGTCTGAGAGCCACTTCCAACACCGCCGCCTCGGTAGCCAGCACGACCTGCTCCATCTTCTTCGGCTGGATCCTCAGCGTGTAGGGTCTCGTGGCGGCAATGCACAGGCCCAGGCCGTTCTCCATCCCTTCTCCCCAGGCCTCCTTGTGCACCGCGAGCCCCTTTCCGTTCAGGAGCTCCTTGATCATCTCCTTGTCCTCCAGGATCTTCAGCTCGCCGTCCTCGCCCTCGAGGGTGAAGCCGATGTAGTCGTCGATGTACAACATCAGCAAGAACCTGATCGCCTCCTCCTCCGATAGGCCGAACGACGGGGTGGGCTTGCCGTAAGTCAAGCTGGGGGCCTTCAGGGACTCGAAGCTCGCCTCCAAGCAGCTGTGGGCCAAGAACACCGCCCACGCCGAGCCCATGACTAAGCTCGAAGCCCCAATACCAATGTCCTCCTCGCGCGGCCTCGGCAACGTCACGCCCTGCTCCATCCCGTACTGATACAGCTCCTGCGGCGAGACATCCTCCACCACAAAATACTCCGCCAAATACGAACCCCAGTGCAACCGATAGAACCAGTCCGGTACGTCGCCCTGGAAGGAGAAGAGCCGCCGTCCACGCAGCACCGCCTCGTCCAGCTCCAGGAGCGCGAGGCCCGCGGGGCTGCCCAGAGGTACCCAGGGGGGATCCACGAAGAGCAGGTTGACTCTTCGGCAGTCCCAGATCAGCCGAGACTTCAAGATACCACCAGTCTTGGGGTCGAAGTCCTTCGCCACCGTGAACAGCCCGACATGTTCGCGCATCTTCGTCACATATGTTATCATTCCAGCCTGCGCCATCCGCAGGGCAAGTGCCAAGCGCTCCTTCTTGCTCCGCCACGCCGGGTCCGAGTAGCTCTTCGTCGCCTCGTACTTTTCCCAGTCGACTTCCCCCGAGCCCTTTATCATCAGCTGGCTGGCCTCTGTGAGGTACCGTCCAGCGAGGCTCGAGATCGCCGCCACCTCCAAGCTCTGGGTCCCCGGCGCTGGGAGCGACACCTGCTCCGCTCTCAGAGGGCACAGGTCGCCCTTCCTCAACTGCGGTGAAGTCTTCGATGCCGTAGCCGTCGTAGACCTCGATCCCTTCGCAAAATACTCTGTCGGGCCCCCTCCTGCCAGGCGGCTCAATGCCGCCCTGCCGTCGTTGATGGTCCCCCACTTCGCCCTCGCGGCGTGAAGGTCCCAGGCTTCCGTCACCAGCCTCTTCTGTAGCGGCGTACTCGCACTCCAGTCCGTCTGGCACGTCTGCTTGTCCGTCAGGGTCGATGGATGTATCCAACCATTCGAACAGCCCGTCGCCATACTCCTGATCGCCGCTATCGTCCTCGAAGTCCGATGCCAGGTTGTCCTCAGCTCCTTCTCGGACAGGCTCGAACTCGACCTCCTCGACTGCAGTGGGAACGGAAGCCCAGGTGGACTCCTCAGGGGATCCCTCTCTCTCGCATCCTTCTCCCCAGTAGTCATCTGGGACCACCGAGCGACCTGCGCTCCGACGTACGGGAAAGCCAGCTCGCCACAGAACGGCGCGAGGCTCTAAGTACAAGAAAGGCCTCGACGCACCGACGCCGCCGCGGAAGACCCCACAACCGATCGTCAGGAAGCTCACCAGCCCGATGCAGCACCACCAACCGAAAGACGTGTCCAGCAGGAAGCTCGGCACGAAAGCGGCTCGCCGCCGCAGCCGTGGTAGAGGGGATTGACCCCTCAGGCCTTGGCCAGAGCACACCACGATAGCTCCGGCCGCAACCTATTCGTCGTCGCCGGCGGGCTGCCCCGCACGCACCTCACCCAAGTGCTTGCTGAGGATCGCCCGCCGCCTGAGCTTCTCCAGCACCTCGTCGTCGGCCCCCCTGTTCTCGCTGTTGGGGCCCCCGTCGAGGCGCGGGTACTCCTCCGCCAGACTCCAATCGACCTTGGAGCGCCACTTGCCGCCATGCTGCGCCTTCGGCCTCTGCCAGTCGCTCTTGCACTGCACCCGCTCGTAGGCCTTCCAGATCGAGTAGAGGCGCAAGCAGGTCACCTCCGCGGCCTGCGAGTTGATCAGCTCGTCGTACTGCCCCTGGCTCATCATCCTGTCGAGGACCAGCGCCAGCATGTTCAGCTCCTGCGCGATGCCTGCGCCCTGCAGCTCCTTGGAGCGGAGCCACTCCTGCGTCTCCACGCGGGCGCTCCGCCCGCCCTTGTAGAGCCTCGCCAGCACCGTCGGCGCCACGCGGGCCTTGATCCCACCCACGGGGGAGCCTGCCACGCGGCGGTACTTCTCCAGCGTCGTCAGCAAGCTCTCCTTCGGGTTCCGCGACTCCTCCTTCAGCTGAACGATCTGGTCCTTCAAGGGATCGTCGAGCTCGCCCAGGTCCCCGACCTTCTCCCAGGACGCTGCGCTCGAACTCGGCGTAGGCGATCCTGCCTGCGCCCGGGTGCTCGAGCCCGAGTCACGCTGCACCAGCTCCTCGTGCTCCGTCAACTTCTTGATGAACGCGTCCACCTCGGCCGTGCTGGGCCCGTCCACTCTGGACGGCGGCGGCCCCGCGGGGGGCGGAGGGGGCGGGCCTGGCTCCGACGCCAGAGCCCCACCGCCGCAGGCCGGGCCTGCTCCCGCGCCGCCGCCGACGTCCAGCCTCGACTTCAGCATGCCCACCGCGTCGGCCAAGTCTGACTGCCCACGAGCCAACTCCGCGAACAGGGTATTGGTGTCCCGCTCGTCCCCACTCACGTCACTCACGTCCTCGCCAGCGTGCACGGACCCGCTGTCCGAGTCCGAGCCTGAGTCGCTGTCCGAGTCGCCCTCCTTTCGGCAGGAGCATCCGTAAGCCCAGACCGCGTAGATCCCGATGAGGACGCAGCCCAGGTACGCCGCGCCCAGCTCAAGGTCGCCTGACTCGTACAGCTCACCCACGAACTCACGGAAGTTGTCCAGGTCCTCGATCGCCTGCATCCCCGCGGAGATGGTGTGGTACCCTGCGGCGAAGAAGGACCCGAGATGTAGCCAACGCCACAACCTCCAGCCCACGAAAAACGCCGCCGCCGCACCGCCCCACGTCTTGTGGGCCCAGGCCGTCACCACGGTTGTCACGACCCCCTTGCCGAACCAGGACGCCACCTTGGCCTTCGAGCTCGCCTTCCTCCCCTTCGTCGAGTTAGCCTTAGCGCTCTCGGCGCCAGCTTGTCCCAGCTCGTGGCGCACGATGAGCCGCTCCGCAGCGATGATCGCCTGCTCCCTCTCCTTCTCGCTCAGCCCTGGGTGCTCGGTCCAGGTCACTCCCTTCTTCGGGCGCGGCAACATCCGCGCCTTGTCCCGAAGGTTGATGATCTGCACCCGCTTCGCGGGGTCGATCGCGGTCCACACCAGCGAAGTCCCTGGGCCGACGCGGCTCACGAGCAGCATCACCACCCCCGTGTTCCTCCCCTGCGTCTGGACGTAGACGCGGTTCCACCTGCTCCACGGCGCCATGAACCCCGCTGGCGACCCTGCCCACTCGGCGCCCCCCGCGAGGTCGAGTGGCTCGACCAGGACCTCCTCGGCCTCCCTCTGGCGGCCGCCGAAAAACTCCAGCAGCCCGTCCAGCTCGCAGAGGGCGAGCGCCGTCACCAGCAGCCAGCCGGGACGCCCGATGGCCGGCGTCGTGGCGGCGCCCGAGCCTGTCGGGCTCGGGGCGAGCAGGGGCTGGAAGCTCCCCCTCTCTGATGGCTCGAGTGCGGGCCTCGCCCGCGAAACCCACGCCTCGAGCCGAAACTTTGCGCCAGGAGAGGAGGGTCAAGCACGAGAGAGAAAGCGCTAGCCCTTCTCCTAGAATGCAGTTGAGGCGGCTATCTGAACGTTTAAAGGGGGTGTGTAAAAGTGTGTTTAAAAACGCGTATATACACCGCACCACCCCGACGTCGTCCCCGACCCTCAAGAAGTCCTGGGATTGAAAAACAGCCCGCCACTGGTAATGTAGATGTCCAAATCTCCAACCGAGGCCGAGCACTCCGTGTGGACCTCCTCCGTACGGACCAAGAGCACCCTGTCAAGAGAGGCTAAGTTCAGACGGAGCAAGCCTGGACGGAGTCTGAGCACTCCGTGCGAGCTCACTCCGCATGGGGTTCGCATCCTCCGAGCGGGGGGGACGCTGCAGCTTCCGGTGAGGCTCGCCGTCTCCCGGGGAGGGAGCGGAGGCGAGGGGCAAGATCGGGGGGAGAGGAGAGTGCCCCTCCTCAGCTTTTCCATACTTTCTCCGACGCGTACTCCTCCTTCTGCTCCCCCCTCCTCGTCCCTCCTCCTCCCTCCTCCCCTCAAGTCATAGCCTGGCCCAGGCGCTCACCTGGGCAGCCCTGTACCTCCACGGGGTGCTTGAGGGCTTTGGGGGAGAGCAAGCCCCCAGTGCTCTTAAACTTCATCGAAAACAGTGTCCTCCTGTCATCTGTGCCTTTCAATTTCCTGACTACGGCAAGCATCACGGCTTCTCTTCTTCTTCTTCTTCTTCTTCTCGCGCATGGAGTCAGGGCAAGTTCTGCGGCGCGTGCGAGCGCAATGACAAGCTCGCGACAATCAACCAGCGATGCAGTAAGTGTTCACGGCAGATTCGGATCTACCGCCCCAGGAACCCTTCCACGGAGCGCAAGGTCAAGTTCGAAGACCAGGCACCCACGTCTGGTACAAATGAGCCGAGGGGTGGGCGGCGTACCAGTGGCGGCGGCGGTGGCCGCAGCAGCAGCAAGGGCGGCCAGGATATTGCTTCACTGCTACAACAGGCCCTGCACGCCAAACAGGACAAGGAGTTGCAGAATGTGCTGAAGCAGCAGCCTGACCGCCTTGCCGAGCAGGTGGCCAAACTCGTCCGACGCCGTGGGCACCGTGAAGAGAGCGGACAACGCATGGAAGGCAACCAACAACCGCCACGAACAGTTTCTCGCCCGGGTCGTGCGGATCCGCCAGCAGTTGGCCACCGCGGAGGGAAAGGAGCATGAGGCTGCTCATGAGCTCGCCCGCACGGCAGCAGCGAAGATGGCTGCGACTGAGGCTTTGGTGAAGGCTGAGGGTCCGCCATCGGCGGCAGGCCAGGCAGACACATCGCAGCAACAAGAGGCCAAGCCCGCAGCCTTTGGCATTCCTACGTATAAGACCGTGTTCGATTCCTTCGAGTCTTGGGATGGCGAGGAGAGCGAGGAGCAATAGCTTCGCACTCTCGACACAGGGTTGGAGCAATACGAGGCCAACTTCGAGCAGCGCGACTCGCACTGGCAACACATCGTTGACAAAGTCAAGGTTATGAAAAAAACGGGTCACCGAACGGACGGCCAAGAATAGGAAATCCGACAACGGGGAAGCTCACGACCCGTCTAATGACAGCGCAGGCGACGGCGACGGCCATGGCGGAGGTGCAGGCCCAGCGGCTGGCGCAGCTGATGCCAATCCAGTCGACGAAGAGGGCCTCCTCCCTCCTCCCCCCCCCTGTGGGCTACCCTGTGACCGCCACGGGGGGCCCTCGTGGGACCCTCTTGCGGTCTTCCTGCTACTCTGGCAAGCTACTGACCCAAATCGACCTCGTTCCATGCGGTCTCGACCACAACCCCAAGCCATTCGCACCATCGGGCCACCGTGCCCTTACGGGTGGTGGCTCCACTAACGGTGTCAAGGCGCCCCAAAGCCATATTACCTCAAATCATCCCCCCCCCTCCTCTTCCTCCGGAGACCGAAGCGGCGACCCCACGGGCCTCATAGAAATGATGGTGGCGACCAAGAACACAACCCAGACGGCCTGCAGACGCAGGAGACCGAAGCGGAGACCCCACGGGCGTTCTGGAAGTGATGGTGGCGACCAGGAACAGCGCCCAACCTCCAGGAGCTCGGTGTGCAGAGCCTTAATGCCTGGTCCCAAGGAGCCTGCACCTCGCCGCCGGGGGGGGATTCCCTCGAGGCCAGCCCTAACCTTAGGTCGGGCGTGCCCCCCTACAGGCGGATTTTGGACGACAAGTAAAACATACACAACACATAGCCAACACATGCTCAAACATGTGCAACACATCGTCCCCGGACTATGTTCGATTATCTTTTAAGATTCCCCCTGTAGAGGGACAGGCCCGACTTAAACCCTAACCAGAACCCAAGCCTCATGAGCATGGCGTGCAATGCCTTATAATTTAAGGATGAAAAAACGACCCTACCCTGGATTACAAGTGCGTGGTCTGTAAACCTCCTGGGAACCCCCAGAGAATAGAGCCGCCAGGACGCCGCACATCGCGCAGGGTCTACCCCGTCAGCCCGCAGGAGTTTCAGCGCACAGCGCCTCGTAAACCAGGGTAGGGGCGTGTTCTACGCCCTTGATAGAAAGCCTGGCACTCGGGCCCGCACCTCGCTCACTCGAGGGATTGTCACGGTGACGTGCCCACGTGGGCGAGCGCGCCCCCCCTCGCCCTGCCCCCTCGCGGCAACGGCGCAGAGAAGACACCCAGCAGATACGAGTGGAGCAGGACTGCGAAACTACGGCAGGTTCGTGTCGTGCCGACCCCAGCGTTGGTTTTTGACACCGCAGGGATCGTTCAACCTTGAACGATCGGCCGCTGCCGCAACGTCCGATCGTTCAACATCGATCGATTCTGGGTCGCTGGCGGCGTTCAACCTTGAACGCCCGCGCTGGGGTCGCCGCTGGTCGACAGGACGCAAACCTACCGTACTCGAGATACAAGCAAAAACTGACGACAACAAAACAGATCGGGATGCAGCACATAAAAACTAACGACCCCAGCACGTGGCATTGGGCATTACAAGCTATTCTGGTAATGCAAACAGTCCCGCGCCCACCCTGAAGCGATGATGGCCGAAAGGGCGATGCTCTGTGATCGGCTGTACGACAGAGCGAAGATTACTTTTGCCCCCCCGCCCCCCTCCCCCCCAAGCCCCTCGTTTCTCCCTCTCCCCGCCTTTCCCATTCTGCGTCCTGCGCTGCGCTGAGCTTCCGCCGTCGAATCCTGTCTCCTGTCTGTCCCCTCGCTCCTCTCATTCCTCCCGCGCTCTGATAGTCCTGCGAAGCTTCTCCCCCTCTCCCGCTCTCCATCTCCCCTCCCCGTCAGGCCTCGCTATTGTCCCTCTGCCTGCTGGCTGTTCCACCCTTTCCCTGGTCCTAGGGGAGGGCTCTTCACATCCCCCAGAAATGAAAACAAACGATCAGAGAAACACGACACGACAAAACTCACGAGCCTGCAACCTGGGCCGCAGGAGGAGCGGGACCCGCTCGAAAAGGTGCTGGAAGAAAAATCCGCGGCAGAGAAAGGCGGAGTCCAGGAGCTACAAGCCACTGCCAGTCTGAGTCTGAGTCGCCAGAACCACCGCCGATCGATCGAGTCCCGACCCGCCCACTCCTCCCGCCGGAGACTCTGACCTAGCCAGGAGTCGGAGGCGCGCAACCATGGATTAGCGATCCATGGATTTGGCGCGCGGTCGCCAAATCCATGGATCGGGGGAAGTGCCCTCCCCAAAACGCGGCCGGTGCCGCCTCGCTCGGCGGCGGAAATCCGCAATTTCCCATGGAAAGGGGACCCGTCGCTAGTCCACGCCCCCTTGATCCATGTTTGCGATCGCCTGATCCCCGGAGCCCACGCCCGGGTGTGCGCATGGCGCGGCTGCCGCCCCCTCTCCTCTGGTGGATCCCTGCCCCTGGCTTCCGAGTGGGGCCGACCGCGCGCGCGCTTCGCCGCGTTCCGACCTTCTGCGCCTCGACGCCGCGCGTGAGGCCGCGACGCCCCAAGTGGGTGCGTGTCCCCGCACCCGAGGGCGTGCGGCCCTTTCCTTGCCCCGGGTTCGGCGGCTCGACCCTAGGTGGTGTGGGCCCAGCTGCCCCGACTGGGACTGTCCTTGACCATGAAGCGAATTGCGCCCCGCACGCCCCCCCCCCCCCCACACCCCATCGGTCATTGAGCCAGTTGGGGCGCCCCCCCAGGCAAGACCAGAGGCGATGCGCCCAGGCCTTGCGGCCTTACGGCAATTTGTCTGTCCCTATCACTGGACAGGATCGGAGACTCATCCCCTAAGCGCATTTACCTTATACCTCCCCTCTGTTCATCGGAAGTGTTCCACCAAGGGCTTTCACAATGGTTGGGGCGACACATCGCCAACTAGCTTGGCAAGACGTCGGCCCTACGTTGGGCCACACAGGCGCTTCTAAAAGGCAGGGGGCGGCGGTGGTTAGCCGAAGGCGTCTTCGATTACAGCGGAGAGCAGGTTGGCGAGGATGCGTACAGCGCGCATTTTTCTACTGGACGCGCGCATGCGAGCTCCAAAACTCCACCGACTTCGCGTACGCATCGCGCTCCAGCGTCACTCCGCTGCCCCCGGTCTCCACCCCCAGAGCGTTCCGCATCATAGTGATGGGCTCCATGGGCAGCTCGCTGTCCACGCTCTGCGGCTTCACCGACACGATCCCCCAGGGGGCGTCGCTGCCACTGTCCTCGCCCATAGCGACATTTTCCTTGCGGATCTGCTCTCTGCTGTACAGGATGACGTCAAGGATCTGAGGAACAAGGATGAAGGGCAGAGAAGGGGCAGGAAGGAAAAGGAGGGGGAGGAGGGGGAGGAGGGGAAGAGGAGGAGGAGGAGGAGGAGGAGGAGGAGGAGGAGGAGGAGGAGGAGGAAGACCAGGAGGGGGAGGGTGACGACGAGGTCGACGACGAGGCGGGCAAGAGGAAAACGGGGAGGAAGACGCCGAGAATGAGCAAGACGAGATCCAGGACCTTGGCCTCCGGCACGCGGCCAGCCACGCGGTCCTTGGGGAACCACCTCGGGGCGCGGTCGGCCCCGCCGTTCCCCCCTCCCAGGGGAGGATGGTCAGGTACAGTCGGGGCCTTGATAAGGAACGAGGCCCCTTTTTTCCATACGTTAAACTTCGTTTTCCGATCGAAAGCATAAGGAGAACCTGAGGCAAGCTGCGAAACACTTAAGGAACGCGGAGCCCCTCCCCAACGAAAAGGGTTCCTTCTTCAGAGCGCAAGAAACCATCGCAAGAAACCAAACCCTGAGAACCCGTGCGAGGGGTGCCGCACATGAGGGGGAACCCAGAGCACCCTGAACGCAGCAGCTCCTTCAGCGGCTGCGGGAGGTCACCGCGCAGCGCGAGGAGCGAAGAAACCCAGCATACCCTGACGAAAAGCATACGGTTTCTTGATGCGCGCCCCCACTGCAGGGGAAGACAAACACCACACGCAAAAATAGAAACGTTCGCGCTGGCCTGGGGCCGCCTGCGCGGCCTTCGCCCGTCGATTCTGGGTGGTCGGGGCTCCTCCTCCTCCTCCTCCGTCCTCCTCCGTCCCTCCTCCTCCG